ATGTCTGACCGGTAATACTTCATTCAAGAGTGTATTACCGGTTAGACATAATATAGTTTGTAAGAGTTTGTAAATATAACCTTCCCCTAGAATATAACAAAATTTTTTTTTTGTCTTCATTTAATAATTTAAATTTTTGAGAGATTTAATTTGTGCTAGAGTTTGATGACCAAGTGATTTTGAATTAGATTCTACTGGTCAATGTTTTTTAATAAAAATTGGAATTTTAATATAAAATAAATAAACATGTGTGTTCTGAACCATTGGCTCCACATTGTCTAGAAGATAAAAGTTCAGATTAATCCTAATTTGAATATGAATGGGACTTATCCGTTAAAGAGTTTGAATCTATGTCTAAACTCTAAACTCTCACGCCTCCAAACAAATCCCTTTTATAAACCTCAGTCTCTTTTACTATCATTGTGTTTACACCATCCCTATAACTTCATGTATAATAATCTGTCACTCATTGTGGCTATCTCTTCTATAAATTCCGCTATTATTTACAAATCCTACATCAACCAGGATCCACCCAGATCGAAAATACTTCAAGTTAGTACATGACAACACAGTAAAATGGAAAAAAATGCTTATATTTAGCAAATTCAACGAGAAAATCAAATCAAATAACTCAAATGTGCCTTATATCATCTCTTGAGTACTCGCGTCAATAAGCCACTTGTCAATGTTCAGGCAACAAAAATGACATGCTCTCTAATAATTTGCTAATATTGTTAGTAAAATATAATATAAAATAATTATTATGAAATTCACTTAATAACTTAATCTTTTAAATTTAAACGATTCTTTATATAATATCAAAGCCTTAATCTCCAAAAAAAATAATAATACCAAAGCCTTTCATAAGCAAGTAGTCACGGCTTAAACTTTTGTGTAAACTATGAAATGATTCTTTTCGTTCTATCTCGTTTGGTTATACACCTCGATAAACAAACAGATGAGGTTCGAAATCTTTATTGAGTAATATTCAAGCATCATACTATCTTCGAACTCTCAAACATATTAAATAATGAGAAAAAATACAATCATATCACGTACTTCAGAAAAACAAAATCTACGACTACAAGCGTTTGATTCCCCTTTTTTCTTTGTCGATAATCCATGCAGGTTATCAATACTAATGTTTAACGTAGCAGTTCTTCTGATATTCCAACCAATGAACATGGTTCCCAAGTAGATCAGAACAATTATATACTATTATATCTCATAATTAACTTGTTTTTCATCTTTACCAGTTAGATCTAATGAAACATCACATTTCGTGAGGTCTCACTGAATCATGACACGTGTCAGTAGCACATGATGTGGGCCATCTTGTTCTGGCTTTTTCAGAACCCACGTGAGTCGGAAATGCAATATATCACGTGACCAATATTGTCGGGTTAGGGAGATCCCATCCAAAAGGAATGCGCCACGTTGTGCTGTGCTAGATCTTGGTCACGTGTCCTCGACCGACTATTCATTAAAATGATTTGCAATATTTAAAAAATAAAAAACCTCGTTAACTTCAAAGCAGCACAATGTTGCTATTAGGAGCCCTAAATGAATTAAGTACCTTTGACTCGAGAAGTTATTCTATGGGTTTGGATCATGGAGATTTTTTTTTTAAAATAGAAAAAAAAGGTGGGATAGAGAAGGAAAAAATTAAAAAGAGAGGGGTAAAATTGGAAGAAAATTTTCTATTTATAGAAAAAGGACCACTGAATAAAAAGTAAGTCTGGAGCATATTAAATTTTCCCCTTTGACTCTCTTGTGAATAACTGAACTTATATATCTAAAATTGATTATTGGAATAATTTGAATTTATATAAAAGCTCATTTAATAGAAATGTTTCAGGTTCTAATTCAAAAGTCCAGTACTTACTATATCTTTTTTTTATTACCTCTTATTACCAAATCTTAACCATTGATTTTTGTCAATCTAACGGTTATAATTTATTAGAAATTAATAATTAATTAAAGTATGACCCAATAAATTATCACCGTTAGATTGACGGAAATCAACTATTAAGATTTAGTAATAAGAGATAGTAAGAAAAAGAAGTAATAAGTATAATTTCTCTCATTTTTTATACTATTTATAATAACGCTCTCTCTCCTAAACCCATTTCACCCCATTTTATTGGTTAAACTTAAACCGACTTTTTGAATGATTTTGTTTTTTATTATTCTATTTAGATAGAGGAAAATTATACTTACTATCTTTTTTTTTACTACTTCTTACTACCCAATCTTAACTATTGATTTTCGTCAATCTAACGGTTACAATTTATTGAAAATTAATAATTATTAATAAGTGTGATCCAATAAATTATAATCGTTAGATTGATGGAAATCAACGGTTAAGATTCGGTAGTAAGTAGTAAGAAAAAAAGGTAGTAAGTATAACCTTTCCTATTTAGATACACATTGAATTTATAAATTTTTATGAAATTATTAGTGCTGTTGATCGTATATTCTGTTTGGAAAAAAAAATTTGGTCTTATTTTTTTTTACAGGCTAAATCAAACTTTTATTTTTTTTGTAAATAAGTAAGTTCACATACCGATAATTATATTTATAACAGAAAATATGTTACGTCAGATTGATACATTTGAACACAAATTTAACATTTTAAGACCAAAAGTTGACCTGATTTAGCCTTTTAATACCTCTACTTGCTACTAGTTCCAAAGTGCTTAGAAATCAGAAAATCAAATATCATAACATAGTTTTTAGAAATATTTAGATTGAAAAGACTTTTGAAAGAGTTTTTTAAAAAAAAGATAGAAACTAGAATGATACCTTTCTCCCTTGCTAAGTTGAGAGCCAAAAGATCAATTAAGTATTTGATTTTAGTGATCATTACAAGGGCTTTGTATCCATTATGTCGCAGGATATACATCTATTTACATGTTACTGATACAATAATTGTAGGCCTCATCATTTTAAATAAATAAATAAAATAAAATAGTTTCACAACTTTCGAAGTGTTTGAAGGACATGAACTCAAATTCCTATAACAGGAGGATTGATTTTCCCATATTACAAAATAACAAATACTTGTTCAAAAAATTACAAGAATTGAAGTCTAATAATATTAAAGACATAAAACTATTTATATGTCTTTATTAAATAATATTAAAATTTCTATGGCTAAGTAATCGCGAGACTTCAGACTTAAAAACCGAATAAGTTAAATTATTAAGTACATTAATGCTTGACAAATAGCCATTACTAGACCAAGGACTGATCTACTACAAATTGAGGATGCAATATTAGTCACACCTACTTCTTATCATATAATACAAATAACTAATGGATAAACCAGTTCAGATTTTCAAAAGGAAATATTCCTTCGTACTTCATAAGGAATTATCATTATTTCTCAAGCAGCAACTTTTTTTTTTCAATAAAAAAAATCTCTTTTATAATAACGACAAAGCAAAGTATCAAATGAAAGAATAACGTTCTTACCTTCGTTTGGTAAGCTTGGAAAATAGTACTTTTTTTTTTTAAATAATACTTTTTATCATCCTTGTTCAGTATACATTTAGATCTCTGACAAAACAAAAAGAAAGACTACATAGGTTAAAATGTACTATATATATGCGTGTGTGATTAGCCTAATGCATCAGTGGACAATTAGTTTATATAAGCAAGCCTGAATAGGTTAATGTACTTAATTAATAATTATCGTAGATAAGATTCGTTTCTGTTTCTCTGAGCAATTAATGAGGTGCAGATGAGACATTGAGACCTCAAAGCCAGCTCTGTTTCCATGCAAAATTATGTTTGTCTTGTCTGACAGTGATTCTCATTGCTGTGAATTTGCAGTCACATATTAAATAGGGATAGAATATTATTCTTATATTTTTTCATATCCATATTAATTATTTTTTCTTATTAGATCACAATATTAAGAAGAGAGAAAAATTATAAAGGTTAATTGAGATTAAGATATATCGATATTAGAAAAAAATAGGTAAAATAAATATAAAAAATAGACATAATATTTTATCCTTATTAAATATATCATACATAGACTCAACTTCATAATCTTTTTTATTTTATTTTCTTATGTATAATTTGCTTTGTAGTGGGCGAAACGTGTTTTCTTTGTTATAGTAGACATTATCTCTTATAACTCAAAAATAATATCATTTTGGGAGTCGGAAGAATTAATGAAGAATATTTTATAATTTTTATTTTTTTCTGTTATATAAATTAACTAAAATACCACTCATTAATTTCCATAATTCTCATAATGACGTAGATTTGAAATTATACTATATAATTTTATCTCGTGATAGAGGAAAAACGATAAATCCTTATCTTGGAAAAAAAAAAAAAAGATCATGCAATGCAACTTTGGAAACCTTTCTGGCTGGGTCACTGTCCATCTTCTCTTTATTCTTTAAGCATATCAACTTTTTTATCCCGAGAACTCAACAAAGAATATATAGCAAAAATACGCGGATAATGTGAATATATCCTTGACAAGGATACCAAATCACGTTATGTTACTTACCCAAAAAGCAAAAAGAAAAAAGAAAATGAAAATAAAGAACAAAACCTTTTTAAGCGTTTGCATGTTTTCATGTGAAACTAAACTTGTCTTATAATTAATATATCCCAACATTTAAACAATTCACAACAATAACTGAACATATACAATTCTAATTAGAAAAATCAACCGTTTCTTTAATATCAAATGATACTCTGAACTTAAAAAATATATATTTGTAATGAGTCTTATGACAACTATATAGAATTGCATGGTCAAGGAATGGTTTGGCTGGAACATATTCCGCACGATAGTGCCAGTGATGGAGATGCGATGAAGGGTATTATTGTCATGACAATAAACAGTTACTGAATTATCATTAAATTAAGGATGGCCCCGACAGGGACCGTTTGGTAATATGGTATTATAAGATTGTGCGGTTAGTAAGTCTTCTCTCACTTATGTTCAACAACGTCCCTTACCTGCAAAGACAGACATTGTCACACACAGAGAGAAAGAGTTAAGAGAGAGAGAGAGAGAGAGAGAGCACAGAGCAACGTGGCAGAGGATAAATAAAAGGAACAAACGATAAGGGAAAAAAGAAAAAAGAAAAACAGAGTCTCTCTCTCTCTCTGTTTTTCTCTGCTTTCCATACCAAAAATCTTCTTCTTTCCAAAATTTGCTTCCTTTTCTTCACCGTCGATTGCTTCTGGTTCCTTTGTTTATGATTTTCTTCAATTCAGTTAGTGAAACCCAGTTTTGAATTTTGATCATGGTTTTCACCTGCTGAGTGCCAAGTGGGAAGATTGTTTTGCAAAAGTATAAAAAAGCAATGAGCTGGAAAAGCAAAGGAGAGCTTTCTCCTAGAAGCGTCATGTCTCAGAAATGGATGATTTTCCTTTGTATTGGAAGCTTCTGTGCTGGGATGCTCTTCACCAACAGGTACATACATGAATTCTATGTCTTTTCCTATTTTTCATTGATAATTACTTCAGGGTTTTCTTGATTTTGTTTAATCATGTTTCTGTAAACGAGTTCATGTTGAGTTTTCCAATCCTTTTTATATTATAGTTTGTATTTTCAGATCTTCATAATATATTCTTTTTGTAAGTATTCAGTTGCTGGTATTCAAGTGCTTAATTCATTGAGTTCTTGGTATATCTTAATCTGCATGACTTTGATTTTGTGAAGATGTTCTAATTTTTATAAATTCAGTTCTTTTTAAGCTTCATAATATATCACCTCTACTTTTCTCACCTATCTTATATTCACCAAAACTCAGAATAAGCGGAATGGATCTGAATTCAATTGACATGAATGATCCTAACCGTTTCAGTTCTTTTCTATATGATTGACTCCAAATGGGAAGTCAATTCTGGTCTAACACTCTGCCTCAGCTAAATATAAACCAATTTTATGAATCACTGATACAATTTTCCTGTACTGATGTTAACGAATCTACTGGCAACTTTATTTGAATAATGTTTCTTAAGGTTAAAAAAGTTTACTGTTTTATCATATCATCCTCACCAGTCAGTGGGGAAGAAGACCTCTGACATGTAATAATTGATGGCACTCTTTGGTCTATTATCCTATGGTAGTTGTAACCGAAGCACTTATTTATATTTACTAGTTGTTGAAACGTTGAGAGATGGATCTTTGGATCTTTTATTTTGCGATCTGTCTTGTTATTAAATAGTGATAGTCTAACGTTTTTGGAGGTGCTTTAATTTTTTAATTGCATTTTTTTTTTTTTTTTGTCTTTGCTTATCATAATAAACACAGGATGGCTCCATGAAAGTGTTATAACTAAAGAATGTAATTTTCTTCAACAACTTGAAATATTCAATTGTTCTTAGATTATTCTGATTTGACTATCGGGTAGGATGTTTTGTGTAACTACTGTGGTACTAGGTTGCTACCTTGTGTGCTTTTCTAATGAGAAATTTAAATGTGTAACAGGATGTGGACTATTCCTGAACCTAAAGGACTTGCACGGACAACAGCTATGGAAGCTGAAAAATTGAATGTAGTTTCAGAGGGTTGTAATTCGAGAATTGTAAGCACTGTTACATTTTTTTTTATTAGTTTTAATAATCTTGTGGTAGTTTATCAAACAAAGTATATTATGCTCTCAATGTTTTATGAAGATGAATATCATATGAAATTCCTATACTTAATTTGTCTGTTGGTCTCCCTTAGTTACAAGAGAAGGAAGTGAAGCGCGAAACTAAAGATATCTATAAGGAAGTTATCAAGACACGTAATGGCATACAGTAAGTTTAACTATATACCATGATGCTATTTTTTTTAGTTATTTTTCATGCCTAACATGTGTAACTGTATTGAATGTAGAACACTGGACAAGACTATTTCAAACTTGGAGATGGAATTAGCTGCTGCAAAGGCAGCTCAGGAGTCTATGCGAAGTGGTGCTCCTGTATCAGAAGATAGCAAGATGACTGAGTCATCTGGTAAGAAGAGAAGGTATCTAATGGTTATAGGAATTAACACTGCTTTTAGTAGCAGGAAAAGAAGAGACTCAGTTCGTCAGACCTGGATGCCACAAGGTTCATAATTTGGTCCTCCTGATTCCAAATTATTTTCTGTTATGCTCTTTATATTTTTCTTTTTACTTTATTGGGCATGGTTTCTGATTATCAGTTCTTGTGATAATTTGGAAAATAGGTGAGAAAAGAAAGAAGCTAGAGGAAGAAAAGGGCATTATCATCCGCTTTGTAATTGGTCACAGGTAAGCTATCTAATTTCTTTTCCAAAGATTTTATTGCATAGTTGCCATGCCAACAATATCTTGTTTTTGTTTTAGTCTCAGTTGGAAATTGTTGAGAAATATAGTTCCACATTGATTGTATGGGCAACTAATGTGAGGTTTATAAGGTCTTGGGCACTCCCACCCTTTGAGCCTAGTTTTTGGAGTGGTAACCTCAAGGTTCTTAACATGGTATCAGAGCGTTCGAAATCTCACCGCCTCCCACTTTCTTTGTAGTGGAATTTACACATGTAGATGGGCTTGTATGTTGTCTACCCTTCAAGCCCAGTGAGCTCTTGTGTGAGGGGGCGTGTTGAGAAATATAGTCCCACATTGGTTGTATGGGCAACTAATGTGAGATTTATAAAGCCTTGGGCACTCCCACCCTTTGAGCTAGCTTTTAGGGTGGTGACCTCAAGGTTCTTAACAGAAAGAAGCACATTGTTCTCTTTGCTGCAGATACTGTTGTGGTTCATCTATTAGAACTAATTAAAAGCAAGTTTATAAAATTATAATCCTGTCTTTGTAGGACATACTTAAGTATTTCCAGAGCTCATTGTACGCACACTCATCAATGTATTGGTCACAATTATATTGAATGATTAGTAAATTTAAATATTTTTCCTCCTTTCTCCAGTGCCACATCAGGGGGTATCCTAGACAGAGCTATTGAAGCAGAAGATAAGAAGCACGGAGATTTCCTGAGGCTGGTAATGATCCTTTTTGTCTTATTCTCATTTTGTCACTACTTGAATAATCACTTGACAAGATAGCATGATCACATTTATTTGAATTTGTGTTTTGATTCTGCAGGATCATGTTGAAGGATACCTTGAATTGTCAGCAAAGACAAAGATTTACTTTGCCGCTGCTGTTAAATCATGGGATGCTGACTTCTATATCAAAGTTGATGACGATGTTCATGTAAATATAGGTATCTAAAGTTTTTCAGCTATGCTAACTATATAAACTCTCGTTCGTTCATCGGCATCTTAGATCTCTACCTAATGCCAGACATGGGTTTATGTTTCCATACTAAGTATATTTGTCTCTTAGTATCCTATTCAATCTGTTTTCAGCAACACTAGGACAAACTCTAGTTAGACACCGATCAAAACCACGGGTATACATTGGATGTATGAAATCTGGGCCTGTTCTTTCTCAAAAGTGAGAATTATCTTCTTTTATCCTTTCTCTTTTTAATGAAAGAATTATAAATTTATAATACTTTCACTTCTAGCTTCTTATCTGCCTACTTTCTTGCAGAGGGGTAAGGTACCATGAACCAGAATACTGGAAATTTGGGGAGGCTGGTAACAAGTACTTTCGCCATGCCACTGGACAGTTGTATGCCATTTCAAAAGATTTGGCTACATATATTTCAAATAACCAGTAAGTCCTTCTGCAACTCACTTATGGAAGAAAGAACAACTGAAATCAAATTCATGGACTGAATGTTGATATGCTAATGTTTTGTTCCCCATGATGGCTTATGTGTGTAAATATATGTTTGTCTCAGGCATGTTCTTCACAAGTATGCCAATGAGGATGTTTCATTAGGATCTTGGTTTATAGGACTTGATGTGGCTCACATAGATGATAGGAGACTTTGCTGTGGTACACCACCAGGTGAAGATTTTTCCTGAATTTATAGATGTCTCAAATCTTTATTTATTTGGTTTGTTTAAGGATTATTATTGGTCAACCTATTCAAATTCTTGAGTTGGTCACTGTTGCAGATTGTGAATGGAAGGCACAGGCAGGCAACGCTTGTGTTGCTTCATTTGATTGGACCTGCAGTGGAATTTGCAGGTCTGCTGAAAGGATTAAAGAGGTCCATAGAAAATGTGGAGAAGGTGAGAAAGCTTTGTGGAGTGCCACTTTCTAGGTTGTATTAGCTTGGAGTTCTTCCTAACTCAGGAAGATTATAACCACGGCAATGAAACTAGGTTGCAAGTTTTTCTTTTTCTTTTTCTTTTTAATATTTTTTAGAAGTATAGAGAAATTTCATTATACACAAGAGAAAGAAAGAGAGAGGACTTGCCCCATGGACCTTCTGCATTTTAATAGAGGAGATTGACCATGGTAGCTGCCAGAATAGGAAGCATGGGACCCCCCTCAGTCCATTCTTTGATGCTTGAAGGGCCACTCTATATGTTAATAGTTCCATGCCTATCAAGATCCTAATAAATAGATATATGTTTCTGTTTGGCAAGGTTGGAATTACTTAAAGAGTCATTTCTTTTTCTTCTACATTTGGCAGGGCATAGCATATGTAATTCCACAAGAGAAAATAATTCTCATGATCTTCAGCCTACAAAGCTTGATCACTGACCACTTTTCTATTGTTCTATTAAATAAATATCCAATAAACTTCAAACACAGTTATACAACATCATAAAGCAATTGTTAATTTTTGCTAATTACTAATTCTATTTGAGCAATGTGCACTTACCCTATATAAATGCATCAAATGGATCCCAATCTCCAAATTAATATTCAAAAAAGGGAAAAGTCAAGATCTTCCAAGTTCCAACTTTGCCATTGCCAGTCCAAGCCTTTGAATTCCATATACATAGATACTTTGAACCTTACATCTGATGGAAAAAGTCAGCGTTTCCTAAGTTGATTGGACCTTAAGCCTGCATCGTGGAGATTCTTAGGGTGTTGAGAAACTGCACACTAATGATTTAAAACAAATAAAATAATATGGGATAGGTTATATTTATAAATTTTTACAAATTACTCTGTGTGTGTATTACGTGTAGTGCATGTTTAAATAGTATGTACTGTCCATGTATTATTCATAGTACATAGTGTAGTTTGTAAGAGTAAATAAATTTTTTGTAAATATAACCATATTTAAATAATGGAGAATGTTATATTTACAAATTTTTTATTTATAAACTCTTACAAACTATACTATGTTTGACCGGTAATACACTCTTGAGTAAAATGTTACCGGTCAGACATAATACAGTTCGGAAGTTTGTAAAAAAAAAAAATTGCGAATATAACGCTACTCTCAAATAATATAAAGTTAGGTACCTTAACTGGGACGTGAGATTGAATGGAAAAGTATTCTTTTTTTAAGGTCAACGGTGCTAAAATTACTAGTTAAGGGATTTAACTCTGTACTTGCACCAAGATGATGGGCTCAACCACCCTACCCAACCGACACGGTACAAAAAGTAATGGAGTATTAATTCATCAAATTAAACCGAAGATGTAAGATAAGAGTAAAAGATATGTTTATGAAGTTGCAACTTGCAACTATCATTTTCCTTTTCGAAAACATATAATAATAAGGTAAAGGGAATCGGCAACAAGAAGGCACAAAAGTGGAAATAAGTAAAATTGCTGTTTTCATTTATAGTTATGGTACAAGTTTTCTGCAGCGAGCAAGCAGAACACATGTGCAGAACCTAATATTAAATAATGCAGGTAGCAGATTCCTCCGCCCCTTGCGCTTATATATGTACCTTGAATTGTACTCAATGCATTGTTTTATTCTTTTAGAAAGAAGATTAAAAAAACTATAATCATGACATATTGTGCATGTTGATGCGTGAGGGAAGGACGAAATACAATTAAAATAAGGGTTTTATAAGAGTTATGTCGTAGGAAAAGTAATTGTGTTATGTTATAGAGATTCGTTTTGCGTGCCGAAGTTTATTTTTGCTGCGGACCTCACAAAATGTTGTGTGTGTAGGAAATTTTTTGTGGTCATGTTAAATGATAGATGCTAAACCCTTAAAATAATAGTAATAATTATTCATTTCCATTTAAAGAAAATAATTGAAAGATATATTTAAAAATCAATATTTAAAAAGAATACATTTATGAGTCTAATTATGCACAAAAAAATAAAATGGTTTAACCTTATTATACTTTTGGTGTATTTGTTTTTAAGATAATAATTGTGCAAATTACTAAACGGTAAAGACATTTATAAAATTCACTTAATCCCTCTTAAGCAAGAAATAATTATCTTTAAAAAGGTATATCCTATAGGTTAGTTAATTTAATTATAAAAATAGGTTTTTATACTATTTTTCTAGCAAACAAATTTACTATTACACTATAATCCAGTTAACTCTATAGAGCATTCATCAAACACCAAACTACCCCGTCAATATGATTTGGTAATTGTATCAAAGACAATTTTTTTTAATAATTTTATTAAACAATTATAGAAGACAAAAGGACTTTTTTAAAGCAAAAAACATTCATCACTAAAAAGTAAGAGCTTGTTTGTAACAAGAAAAATGAAGACCAGTATTTCAAAACTAGACAAAAAACTATACCATTATATAAAATATGCATGATGGAGAAATCAAATAAAAAAAATAATCCTACATAATCAAAACAAGCAATTAATTCTAATTTTGCTTATATGTAGTAATAAAAGAAACTGTGTTTAAAAAAATATAACTCAATATGCAAGAATAAATTTTGTGTATTAGATGTACTGAAAATTTAGTGTATCTATCCAATTATTTTATAACATTTGGACAAAAAAACATAGTATCATTTGCTTTTTTTAGATGGTGTAATATTTTTTTATCCATATATCACAAAATAAATAGGTAAATACATTAAATTCAGTAATTTGATACACTAAAGATTTATTCCAATATGCACCCGTAGATAGCATCCCAATAAATGGTGCTGATGGTTGGAGGGGTACGGAAGCGACTTGGTGGCTGGCTAATGAATGACTGTGTCTTATATGAGTGGGAATATAGTTCACTTGAATAAGAACACAAGTAGATCAAGCAAAAACATTTAAGTGATTCATGTTTCGAATATACCTCATGCGTATATTTATCATAAACTTATGCAGCAGCATAAAAAAGGGGACGAGTTAAAGGACTTAACTCTATTCTATTCCAGGACCCAGAAAATTTTTGGATGGTACAAAAATAAAATATTAAAGTTATAAGTATTATTAAAATTAATATAAAAGGGAAACTATTATAAAATTTTTAGGAAGGGATTAATTATCAAAATTAATAATTCATTATCTTATAATAAAAATATTATTATATATAATAATAATAATAATAATAAAATTTTCTTACCTTTTACTGTATTGCCAAACTCTCTCCCAGCACTTTCTCTATTTTCTTTATTTTCTTCTCCACCCAAAAGAAATCCCTTCTCTCTCTCTTTTATCCGTTTTTTATTTTTATTTTTTTGAAGCTCTATCTCTCAATTATTAGTGGACATTCCTTTTGTGTGTGCAGAAAGCTAATATGTAGTTCAGAGGTGGGTGTACGTGAGTATGCAAAAAGACATTAGAGTGCATTCTCTTCTCTTATGTGAAAATTTCACGTGACATATAAAGATTTTAATCATTCATTATAATTTTAATGAAGAATGTCATAAACTGAGGAAGTGGAAATTATCACTTTAATTATTAACCATTAATCTATAAATAAATAATTGAGATTTTTTTATAATGTGAAATTTTCACGTAATAGCAATATTGCATATGCTTGTTATTTTTGGCTCAACTGCGTTCCTTTTTTTTTTTTTTTTCAGATTTGTATTTGTATTTTGTTTGTTTGGTTTTTGTATTAAATTAAGCTAAAATCAATGATAAATCTCAGGCTCTCTGAATTTTTCTTCTTCCAAAACAGTGGTCTTGAATCTTATTATAGGCTGAGAAGAATGAATTTCCCTTTCATACATCGGTACTAGCTAGTATTATTTGTTTTTAATTAATATTTTTTGAATAAAATAAAAAGAAATAATGAGCTGCAAAAAAAAAAAGGAAAAATATTTATCCTTTAAAGAATATAATATTGTGATGTCATTTTAAGTGAAATAATAATATTTTTCTTAATATTTAAATTAAAAAAATCTATTAATAACTTCCCACTCTCCTACCATGATATTTTATTATGTAATTATCTCTCTCATCATAAAATACAATAACTTTATAGTGTAAAAAAAAATACAATAACTTTAGTTAAAATGACATGATATTATATTCTCTAAAAGGATAAATACTTTTAAAAAAATAACAAAAATTTGGAAAAAGAATTTATGTTCACATGCATCCTTTGAAGTAACTTCAGTTCGCAGTGTCCAACGCTGAGGAAACTGAGGAAGTCAACTGCCAAATGAGGGTAAGTTCAGGTAAAGGTAATGGACAAATAATCTTTATTACTCCTGTAGGCATAAAGTCCTAGGGTCAGTTTGGCGATTGGTCAAAATAAGGGTAAGAAATTCATAGATAAGTTTTAAGGTTTTATTAGTGTTATGTAACATAATGTAAGTGTCGTTTTCAACTCTCACATCAAAAGGGAGAGAGAAAGTGGAATGATGAAAGAGAAAGAAAAATATGTGGACCCCACTTCTTTAATATGTGTGTAGGAAAGTGAAGTTATATTATGTTAAATGATAAACATAAAACCCTAAGTTTTATTAGTAGGATTGCATATATAAGAAAATGATTTATTTAATCTTATGTTACATGAGAGATATTCTCTCATGTTGTAGAGATACATATGGCGCGGTTCGTCATTTAAAGAAAAAAGAAAAAGAAAAAAAAAAGTGTCACGACTTTTGATGGGTGTGTAGGAGATAAAACTACTCTTATGTTGCATAAGAGTAATTTTTTCCATAAGAAAATTATCCATAAATCTTCCATCCAATTTTTACTCTCGTAACTAAGTCACAATTGTTAAAAGAAGAAGAAGAAGACTTTTCAGTAAACATGAGAATGAGAGACAATTTGTTTTGAATTATTTTACACCCTTTCTTTTAAACTGAAAGAAAGAAAAAAGTGTTTATCAAAAAAAGAAAAATTATTTACCAGAAAAAAAAGAACGAAAAAAAAATACAGATCTTGTCTTAAATTGTATATAGTTCCTCCAGACTAACAGGAAAAGCAGTTTCCAAAATTAAGACTAGAATGTTAAAACGAGGAATTGCTTTTGATCTTTCACAAAGTTTGGGCTTCATATTTTTACTTTAATGATGCCCCTACCTTACACACCCAGAATTGGCTTATTCACTTCTTCACCTACCAGACCATTCAAAATAAGTAAAAAGACAAAGGAAAATCATTAATTGATGTTTTTTCTCTCATAAAAAAAATGTAATCATAATAGTATGGTCAGTGGTCAGTGGTCACTCTAGCAATTAAATATATCAAGTATATATGCATATTTTATTTATTTCTTATTGTAAAGGAGTTCTTTTCGTCTTTTTTTTTTTTTTTTTTTTTATCTTTTCAAGTAAGAAAATAACATCATATCTTTGAAAACGGCTCTGTTTTTGGAGCACTTGCTGCCTATATTCAAACTTGATTATAATTTTGAAATATCCTTAGTCTTTTAATGTGCACATG